GTGTGCAGCCTGCCTGGCCCGCCAAAGAAACAAATGACAGGGTGGCCTCAAATTAAGGGGTCTGAGATAAAAAGGGGTTTGGGGGTGGCCTTGTCTTGTTATGCTTGCAGCCGGGACTCCAACTACCCAAAACCCCTTTTTCTCCCAGGCCCCTGAATTTTGTGTGACTTAAGCGCGCCAGATGATTATCCTCTAAGGGAAGACTGAGACTATAATTTTCCGCCGTGAATTCGGTCTTGATGGTAGTCAGATTCAGTTCAAAAGTTTGTGTGAGTACGCGGTAAGACTCTGTTGTTGGTACTGACAATCAGTGACAAACATATTATTGGCGCACAGCCATGTCTGTTTTTTTTGTTTTTTTTTTCCTTAATCATTTGCACCATTTCTCGATTAATGCGTGTCATCCTTGCAAGCGCAGGGCCCATGCTAATCTCTTTTTTTTTTTCACAAAGAAACTCAGCTCATTTTCTTACCACTCAAAAAGAGGGGGAGGCGGGGAATCCCCCCACGAACAACCCAGAGAAAAGAAACAAATCACTGGGCCCATTATTACCTTCTTCTGTTCCTGGTCTTCTACCCCCTCCTCCTCGTCATCGTGCAGTCATTGGGACGCTGGGGTGTAGTAGCAGAACGGCCAAATCTGGACCGCTGCCCTGACACATCCCGCCATGCTAATCTTCTTTCCCTATACCGGTCCAAATTTGACAGATGCCCCTGAAGGACCATCCATGGTTTTTTTTTTTTTTTTTTTTTTTTTTTAAGACCAGGCTAACACTTTATTAACAAAGCCGCGTTTTTTGCCAACACAAGGGAAACATACTGGTGGCCATGGATTTCCACCTGTATCGTTCAATTAATTAATGCCAAACAGATTTACAGACGGATGTGCAGAACCAAACAGCTCTGGCCAATTAACTGACGAGTCGAAAAAGGTTTTTTTTTTTTTTTTTTTTTTTTTTTTTTGATTCCCTTGGGGATACCCATTATACGAGCATGAGCTCTATGCCCGCTACAGAACGCTGGTCCATTGGAGGCACTACCTCCTAGGCAGAT